GCATTGGCAACTCAGGAAAATGTATTTGGTAAAGGGAATAAAACTGCACGTAAATGTTATCAACCGAAGATGACAAAAGACAACCGAAGGAGTTGGTTGGAAGTCTCCTGAAAATCAGGAAGATAGATAGACTGTTTTAAGGTTTTAACCAGGAAGTTGGACTCCTCACATATTCTGCCAAGACAGAGAATTTAAGTATTCAAGGCCAGGAGGACACAGTCCCTGAGGATGAGGGTAGGGTTGCTAGATGCCCCCTGTGAAAACCAAGGTGCCAAGAATGGCAGGGCTTCCTTCCTCCTCAGATACCAGCTGGCCCCAGCCATGCATCATTGGGTGCTCATATCTGATCAAATGTCACGTTCAAGTTTCACTGGATAAAATCCAGGTTCTGTGCTACTTGGGAATTGTCTAACAGTCCCCTCATCCATCTGGAGGCAATTTTACCTGAGTTTCCAGCCTAAAGTCACAGAGCTGGGAGATTACGGTGTGAGGACTTGAACAAAGTCTCCCAACTCTTGTCACCCCGCTGCTGCTCTTCTTCCTCGCCTGCTCCCCCTCTTCTAACCCATTCTGTTTACTCTGAGTTTTGTGCCTAAGAGTTAACTCTCGATTCTTGGGAATAAAACCTAGGTGGTCAGAATTAGGTGGTAGAATTTAAGCTCAGAAGGCCCACTGATCCAAATGTATACATTTTCATGTGAACGTCATGCCTGAAAATTTACCTTAGGAGAGAACTCATTTCTTTGGGCTAAAAATCTGGGATGCATGGTGTTCTTCGTATTAAGGTCATTTAGTAGAACTACTGGATGGTAATGGGAGTCATGGGGGTCTCTTCTGGGCCATTATGTGCTATTGAGCAAGTAATTTAAACTCTTTGGGTCTTTTCCTTTGTTGTTAGTAAAAACCTCATAAATATTTCTTAGTTATTAGTCTTTAAGTAGGATTTAATCCATTAGGTTTTTCTTCCTTTATAACCGCTACAGAAGGAAAATGTTTTACTAGGAAACATTGAAAGGAGTGCTCTGAAACATGGGCCACCCTCTGCAGGGGACAGATTCAGGTGGAGTCTGAAGAATGAGGGACATGTCTGTAGGAAATGGAGAGGTAGGTGCTCCATCAACTCATGGTGGAAAGCAGAAAGGCAAGCAGGTAAACGAGAAAGAGGCAAAACCCCTGACTTCAAACACTTCACTCTCATGGTAGCCAATCCATCCTGTGAGGAAATCACCTCTTAAAGATCCCACTTCCCCATACTGCCACAAAGGCATCAAATTCCTATGAGTTTCAGGGGGGATAAACCATATTCAAACTATATCACAGGTCCTGGGTGTAATTGCTGTGAGAATATCTGACTAATAAATTTAAGATTTTCTAATGGAGAGAAAAAAAGAAATGGACACTGGGCAGAAGAAATGGACATTTGTTGAGTGTATACCTTTTTGTTGGGTGGTAAGAGGAGGAAAAGAAAGGCAGTTTCCCTATTTTCATGGTGAAAAGTGCAATTGAATGCAGTTCATGCAGCATGTCCATGTGGGGCCAGGTGGGTGATTGGCATGGGCAGGTAGAAACTGTTCTGAACTATCCCAGTTCTTCTGATCCCCCAGTTTCTATCTGCCCCCACCAATCACCCACTTGATATTGGACTTCTCAGTCTCCAGAACTGTGAGCTAAATAAACTACTTTCCTTTATAAATGATCCAGTCTCAGGGATTCTGTTATAGCAACAGAAAGCAGACTAATTATTGGAGGAAAACATGAATCAAAAATGCAGGCTACACATACTCCATAAGTTAAGGAAGCCTAAATCCTCTTCATTTTCTAAGGAACACCTCTTGACCCTACTGTTTTTAAAATGCTCTTTGTTCTTTATTCTGAGACTTTTGTTTCACTTTGTTCTTTTCCAATCTATTCCATTAGAGAGTCCACATTCACAATTACACAAAGACTGACAGGCCCTTTATAACTGCTGTATATATAACCACTGGGGGTCTTTGAGTTCTCAGAAGCTTGAAGAGAGGAAGAAAGGACAGCTCGACCTGAGATGATAGAGAAACTTGGCAGTTGGCTTCTGGTTGATTCCCAGTCTCAGCTGAACTCTCATATTCTGGAATTAAGGAAGTTTCATCCAGAGAGTCAGAATCTCTCAAGAGACCCTTGATTATCCATCTGTGGGTTGGGTCAAGGTGGGGGAGAGGATGCTTCTCATATAGACTTTCTATTTCATTTTTGTTGGAGCTGGATTATTTTATTTATAGAAATTGTTCTAAAACTTATGCCATATTTTTTAAAAAAGCTTATTTCCCTGTGTCCTAAGAAAGAGGAACTAAAACAAATATCTCTGTCATTTGCAGGGATCTGAGTATTTATTGTTTGATGAAACTAGAAATAAGGCTAATAGTATTATAGATTATTATGCTGAATTGTTAGTATTCCTCCTATGATGATTTTTTCACAATCTTGCTGAAAAATTTAGCCTGTGTTGTCAGTTTTCTACAACTTTAAAGTTCAGACTTTATGTCTGAATTATTAAAATTCAGCAAACAGGTAAATTTATGCTTTTAACTTTTTACATTTTCTTAGGTGTTCAATGTAGAAATCTTGATAATTTAAAAAGATTATTATGTTGAATGTAGCTATGTATATTAACATTTTAGATTATAATTGTATGAAGTTTTACCTACACATTTTAAATAAAATATTATATAATGAGCACTTCCATTTTTTTCAACAAATATTAGTCTGGTTCAAAAGAATAGCTTGAGATTACTTGAAACAACAGATTTCTCTAGGTGTACTGCCATCCTCCTTAGAGTCTGTATTTTCACATACCCCTAAGATGTTCGTTGCTGCCAGGGTTCTCCACCATTGTTCTCTCTGGACATCTCAGTCAATTAGTCCCAGAGGCCAGCCATGGGGACATTGTGGGAACTGTGATAGATAGATAGGTAAGAAGGAAGAGGATGAGCCACCATTTGTATTTTAAATAGTGGCAGCAGCTACTTCAGCTTCTCCCTTCCTACCCTATCCTCAAATTGTTGAGCCACCCATAAATGGGAAAGCACTTTTAAAAAGCTGAATGCCAGTAAAATGCTGGGAATTTTAATTATGAATATTGGTATATTAAAATGTCTACATTCTTTGTTTCTCCTGCTTTCTTATCAGTCCCTATGATTTCACAATTGGTCCCAAGTGGCATCTCCAACTCTCTGGCATTTGGCACTTTGTGGGTGAAACGGAAATGCAGATGATATCAGCAGTGATGGAATGGAATGAACTTTTCATCCAGCTGAAAAAAATCACCCTGAGCTACTGAAATATAGCAGCATCCATCACAGTCAAGTTGTCAAAGAGGGATATTTCACAGCTATGACCTCACAGCCATAAAACATAAGCCGTGTAACGAGTGAGGAAACCCAAGGCATCTTTTCCAGGTTTTTTTTTTATTAATAAGATTACCATATGGAAAATAACTTTAAATTATTACAAGTATTCTATTAATTAGGAGAAAGCAATCCTACAGACTTTTCCAGTTTCCAGGGCTTACATTTGTTACTGATTACTCATGAAAGCATAGAGTTACATTAGCTGTTCTCTCCATATCACATGCTCAGCCCCAAGTGTCCGAGGAAGGGGCCTGAGTCTTCACAATTTTGATGTTCGTGGTTCTAGCCAGCTTGCCTCATTCCCCGCTGCTAAATGGGCCGCGACAGCAGGTGGGTTCTGGTCCCTTCACTCCAGCCAACAGCAGAGTTTTTCCAGCAGGTGTCAAAGTCATTCTGGGATAGACTTTAGCGAAAACTCTCCTGACCTTTCCCCATGCAGAACTGACATCCAACTCGAATAATTCATCAAGGCCTTCTGATGGCTGCTCTGTGAGTTTCTGAGGTTGTGTTTAAAATCCCATTGTTCCCTCTTATTTTAGTGTCTTTGCTTTTCTTCAGAGTGTCATCAAAAAAAAAAAAGGTGTCATAATTTTTTTTTCTTTTATCTTGGTTTTATTTATGATAAAGAAGGCTTATGGTAAAATCAGCTGCCCTGGAATCACTAGATGATGTATTTACTTTCTGATGATCATCAGCATTCTACTACTCTTGGATGGACACTCTCCTTAGATTTGCTTCCTTATTTGGAAAAGCTCAAGCTCATTTAGGAGACCTTAACAAAGAAGGACAAGGACCCAAATTATCTATGACCAGTGGGTAGGTTGTTTTCCGCCTAAAATGCTGCAAATTAGACATTTGCCAGTAATATGCTGTCCTTAGATAATCCTCTCTCCAAATCTTGTGAAGACCGTGCTATGGTTTGGATATAATTTAATTATGTATCTCTCCAAGAGACCATTATGATTGAAGGCTTGTTCCTGCAGGGTGGTGCTGTTGGGAGGTTGGGCCTGGTGAGAAGTTTTGAAGTCACTCAGTGTGTGCCCTTGGAAGGAATTGTGAGACCCAGTTTTTGTCTCTCTGCTCCTGTTTGGTTATGTAAGCTCTTCCATACACATACACCTCTGCCATGATAGGACTATAGCCAGGAAGGCCTTCACCAGAACTGAACTAATACAGGTGCGTTGCCCTTGAACCTCCAAAACTGTGAGCTAAATAAACGTTTTGTCTTTATAAGTTAGCAGCTCCATGCATTTCATTGTAGCAATGCAAAAATGACTAGTAACATCTGACACCCACACCGTGATTTCTACAAATATCAGTGATTCCTACTTCCTCACAGTCACATTGGTCTCCAATTTCCTATCTATTGAATCTTTTTTTTAAATTTTTTTTATTGTTGGTCGTTCAAAACATTACATAGTTCTTAATACATCATATTTCACAGTTTGATTCAAGCGGGTTATGAACTCCCAACTTTACCCCGTATACAGATTCTGTATCACATCAGTTACCCTTCCATTGATTGACATATTGCCTTTCTAGTGTCTGATGTATTCTGCTGTCAGTTCTATTCTCTACTATCCCCCCTCCCCTCCCCTCCCCTCCCCTTTTCTCTCTCTACCCCTTCTACTGTAAATCATTTCTTCCATTGAATCTTAATCTCTGTTCTGTTTCATGGCTGGTGTTTAGTCTCTGTTTTTGCCATTGACTCCATCATGGAACAGAGCTTTTTTCTATGGTTTCCTCTTATCCCATACAAATAGAAAAAGAAAAATGAGGGGGAAAAAAAGTACTACAAAAGCTTATTTATATCAGACTTTACTGAAGGTATGGGGCTTTGGTGGGAGTTTATATTGCAACAGTGAAGACATTTCTGGTGTCAAAAATCCTCTGGCTCTTTTGTCTCTCTAATTCTTAAATTTTCTCTTTGTTCTCTTGCTTTCTCTCAGGAACTGCCCCATGCACTGCTAACCTGTCTCCTGCGTCTTCCTGTGCAGGGAGCAACTGACTTCCCTCTGATGCTTCTCCAAGGGGTACTGGGCCAGGTGGACTTCTCTGTCCATGCCAGGATTTCACTAACACTTTGGCATTTCTTGTACAATCTCTAGGTGTAATTCTAGAACATTTTCTTTCTTGTTTCCTCATGGTTCCCCCCGACCCCCACAACACTGGGGCAAGAGGTAAGTGTTGATCACGAGGACAGAAGCTCTGGTCTTGATCCTTTGGGAATGTGAATCCCAAATTTCACTGGGAGTCAACATTAAAGACCTACTGGTATCCTCAACACAAACTTTGTTTTGCTTTTTAGGATTCTTGTCTCTGTTCCTCCCTACTCAAATTGTTCTTCCATTTAGTTCAGTCCCTCATAGACAATGAACATTGAGCCAAGATCCCTTTCCAGATTAGTAGACACGAGTATTCTCAGTAGATATATTGGAGGCTGAGCTGGATACACTGGTGTGGAGTAAATCATTGCTCAGCCCCTCAGTCAGGGATCTCATCAGTTCAGCGACAAAGTGATTGATGGACCCAGACAGGAAAACATGCATTTTTTGCTGTCCAGCAAAATAATACATACAAATACATCACTTTTTAATGGATGTAGGGGAGGTGAACAATTCAATCTGGTTAACATATGAAATCAGCAAACTCTTCCATGCAATCATGAAGTTATTGCTTTTGAAAATGATCTATTGGTCTGTTATTACCACCAAAATGAAAAGGAACAAAGACAAGCTTTGTAAACTGTGGCTAGAGTTTGGGAGGAGAGGAAAGGAGGAGGAAACTGAAATGTCTGGAGAAGTCTTACCTAGAGTGAAGCCCAGCAGTGCTGTTTAGCATCCCTTGTGATTACTGCTAACATCTATTGTGCACTAGCTGTGCACTCCAGGTGCCTTTTCTCATTTAACCTCCAATAAGCCCTGAAGGAGGCTCTATATTTCTCTACCACCAAGACATGGAGAGTTTAGGCAATGTGCTCATCAGAGTGTCTGCACAATTTGTGCCCTGATTGCTTCCCAAGAAGACCCAGGAGGAGATTTTTCCTTCCCTGTGCAAGTGTATAACTGCACCTGAGGATCCTGATGGTTGTAACCACGAGCTTTTTTTTTTTTTAATTTTGATTTAGTTGTTTATTTTTTACTACAAAGTATCATCTTGTCTATGGAGAATTTATGCAGAACTACTGTGAAAAAGTGAAGCATACATAACTGTTACATTCTTAGTATTTGTTGCCACTATGTATGTCATTTCAGTGCTAAGAAATTCAGTTTGATGCTGCAAATAGGCAAGGAATATATTTTCAATCCATTTTACAGATGGTAAAAGTGAATTGGGTACCAGGGATTTAATCTAGGGGTGCTTTACCACTAAGCTACATCCCTCACTCTTTTTAATTCTTTTATCTTGAATCAGGGCCATGCTAACTTGCTGAGGCTGACCTTGAACCTGCAAGCCTCCTGCCTTGCATCCAGTCACTGCAATTATAGATGTGCACCTCTGGGCCTGGTTCAAGAGGTTGTCGCATCTTCAAACGAAAGGAGTTTGGGAGTAACTCCGATCTTCATTTATACTGTTTCCACCATTTCCTGGCTGGGCAAGGGCCTGGACTCTCTCTGAAATTCATTTTACCATGCATAAAGGAGGGATATTAATACTTCTCTATGAGGCTAATGTGAATATTAGAGATAATTAATGATAACATTAGATTAGATTAGATAACATTCAACTAGGTATAACATTAGAGATAACATGTCCCAGTATTAGGCCCACAGAAGACTTTTTCTTTGTGCCCCAAAGCTACTGTATTAACTTCCTTGGGCTGGAGGGAAAACAGAGTCCTTAATTTCCTATTCCAACCTGTTGAACATAACCCCAGTTCCTAGGCACGTGACTGTGTGAGACCATGTGCTTGAGCAAGAGTGTGCCTCTTCTGAGACAATCACTAAAAATACATTTCTAAGAAAATCTACATCAAATGGAAGTCAAAAAGTTGTCATAGGTCCTATGGTAGTATTGGATCCTCTGATACTAGCATATACATAGCAATGACAGCATCTTGCCACCAAATAGCACATTCTCTTTTGCAAAGTATTTTCAAACACAGAATCTCACTTTGTGGTCCAAACCAGCTTGTCAGAGAGGTGACAGTAGGCTCATATGACAAAGACAAAATAGGGAGAGGAAGAAATGGAATAGCAATCTGCAGATGCTGAATTTTTTTGCTAAGTAGTGTGGTATGCCACTCAATAGGTTGAAAATCAGCACCACCATTACCCAACAGTTCAGAATTGGACACTAGACTTGCCAGCTAAGATGTTCAGTGAGGCAGTTAAGCTGCCAACCCATCCTTTTGTGCTAGATGAATAAATGAAGTACAAATGTGAATATATCAAAAGTAATTATCAGCTATTCCTGTGAATTCACTGTTCAATAAACATTTTTAAATCTCTGAATCATTTTCAGACTACCTACTGGGTATCCATTGTGCAAAATGCTTCCAGAGATGGGGTCAGGCATCCTTAGTGACCTCTCTGTCTCCTGGGGACTCTACAAAGGACGGTCAAGTCTGTGTGATCAGTATTATCAAGGACATGGCAGCCAACGCGGTCTGAGGAAGTCAGGGAGCTGACCTTTGAGGTGTACCTTAAGGAGATGGAGAGGTCAGGAAAGTTGTACCAGGGATGACCTCTGGCCTCCCAGTCCCCTGTGCTGGCATGCAAACAATTCTAATATCCATCAACTTAATGCGAAATGGGACTTTCCATCACCCATCCCTGTGCATCTCAGGTCAGAGAAAGAAACATTAGATTCCTGTCATTAGGCACCAAAGCCTAGGGCACCTCTCATTCCTCTGGGCCTTGGATTATGCATGTTCCTCCTTCTGTCTGGAATGTTCTTCTCTACCCCTATCCATCTTTTGGGTGGCTTTTAACCTTCCATTCCTCCTTACAAGCCAAGCTGAAAGATGAGCCTCGAGTTGATTCTTTATGCTCCAATCCTCCAGTGCAGCTTTTGTTACTCCCTTGTCCCATGCAGCAGTGTGAGGTTGTCTTAGTGTGCTCTCTGCTGCCAAAACAGAATACCATAGACTGGGAAATTTATCAACAGTAGAAGTTAATTTGGCTCCCAGTCTGGATGCTGGAAGTTCAGGAGCATGGTGTCTGCATCCGACGAGGGTCTTCTTGCTGCATCATAACGTGGTGGAAGGGCAGGTGAGCACAGGTAGGGCAGAGGGAGGGTGGACTTACCCTTTCATTAGGAACATCAGTTATCCACTGATAACTAACCCACTCCTGGGATATTGGTGTTAATCCACTCATGAGGGCAGAGTTCCCCTGGTCTGATCACCTCTTAAAGGTCACAATTAAATTCGAACATGAGTTTTGAAGAGGACATTCAAACCATAGAAGAAGGTCTGGATTTTGGTTACAGCAACTCCCACCCTGCCATCCCTGCAAGACCATAGACTGTATAAAATAGGTCAGGATTTTGTTTTCATTTCTATTGCCCAAGAATGGAGGACAGTCCCTGGCCCAGAGAAATAGCTGCCAATGGAAAGAATAAACTTATAGAGATAATTGAGATTTCCTGCTTCCCTAAACAGATACAGGAAGCCTTAGTATATTGATTCATTAGCTAACTGGCATATTGCCATATGCAGGTCCTTGAACAAATTTGAAAATTAGGTAAATTTGCTTTAAGTATCTGTCCATGGGCCTTTTTATTCCTTCTTATATATAGCTTTCTGGAAGAATCTGAGGTTTACAGACTTGGCCAAAGTCATTTTGCACAAGGCTGTTGCAATATAAACTCCCTCCAAAGCCCTATAACTTCAGTAGAGTCTGATGTAAATAAGCTTTTATAGGACCTTTCTTTTCTTTTTCTATTTGGATGAGAAAAGAGGAAAACCTAGAAAAAGGCTCTGTTTCCTTATGGAGACAATGGCAAAAACAGGTGCTTGAGATACTAACAGTTAGAAGGTTATGGCAGAATCTGCTGCAACTGACCTGAGTCCACAGTTGATCAGGGGTTTCCTCCCCAACTCTGCCCTCCTCAGCATTCTTCCTTCTAAAAGTTTGCTGCACCTTAATGAAGCCTGGATGCACGTTCCTTAGTGTACTGTTCATTAAGTGACTGCCATCTGTGGGTGGCTATGGCACTCTGGAGGGTAAATCACACACAAAAATTTGAAGACTTAGCATATAAAATAAGTATAAAATAGCTTTTTAATTTTGCATATTGGATGCAATAAAAATAATATTAAAACTCCCTGCATCTATTCTTCTTGCTTTTTTGACACATATACTAGAATATTTAAAGTTTAAATGGTTACTGGAACTATGCCTCTGAACAACAAAAGCATTCTCCAAAATGTGATCTCATCTGAATTTTAGAGTAAAACAAAGATTGTGAAGTTAAAAAAAATCATATTGGTTACATTATTAATAAAGAACAACAGCTGTTTGCCAAGAACTTCTTGGTGCTGCATGATGGGGAGGCAAACTCTGTGTGATGGAACATGTTTAAAATTCATGACAACTGCTGGGTACGGTGGCACATGCCGGTAATCCCTGTGGCTCAGGAGGCTGAGGCAGGAGGATCACAAGTTCAAAGTCAGCCTCAGCAAAAGCAAGACACTAAGCAACACAGTAAGACCCTGTCTCTAAATAAAATATAAAATAGGGCTGGGGATGTGGCTTAGTGGGTGATTGCCCCTGGGTTCAATCCCTGGTACCCCCCAATAAAAAAAAAAATCTCATGACAACTGTAGAGTGAGTACTATTTTTTTATACAAAGAAACAGGTACAGGCAGAAATGATGTTACCACTTTTATGGTGCAGCAGAGCTGAGATTCAGACCTGTATCATGTGGCTTCAGAGCCCAAATCTTTAACTTCTATGGTTTTGCTCTGACCAGGACTTACCCTGAAAATATGGCCATGACAGAGATTCTGACTTCAAAGGAGCATTTGTCTTGTGTGACATCGTTCTGGCTGCCTTTTGGTTCAGAGGTGAGAAAAATCAATGTTCACTATTAATATACAATTGGAGCTGAGGCCAGCCATGATGGCTTCCAACAGCTCAGGGTAGGAGCCTTCATTTTTTGGCATGTTCCTGGGATAATTTGAACTTGCCATGTAGTGACTTGAATGGGGGAGTGGTGGGCAACCCAGGAAGATAGAACTATAAGCCTTGCAGTCTGGTGACCCACACAGTTACCCTCCCCCACATCTTTTCAGAAAGAGGAGAGCAGATAAGATGGACAGAGGTGGGGGGTGGTATTCTCCAACCAGGTTGTAGATATGAGCACAGTGCCCGGGATCGATAAATACTTAATAAATATCTGTTCTTTCCTTTCTGTTTTCTTCACTCAGGCACGTGCTCAGAGTTTAGTGAAATGCTCACCAAATCTGCTAGCAAGCCAGGCATTCCAACCTTCTGAGAAATCACCATTGTTTTTCCCAGGTACATTATTTCTGTGAGAAGAATCCTCATCTTCACAGTTTCCTACTTTAAAAAATGGTTTTTATGTTTTTTTTCTCCTATTTTCCATCTTTTATTTTTTCCATAGTCATTTAAAGCAAATCTCAGAAATGAGTAACTTTCACCTATAGCTTGTAGTCTATTGCCACAGGTAAGAACTTTTAAAAAAAACACCACACATTGGTATTATCTCACCCAGAAAGTGAATAATAATTCCTTGCTATAATTGAATACTCATCTTCCATTTCCCTAGTTGTCTCCAAAATGTCTTCTTCGAGTTGATTGGCTTGGATGTTGTCCTTTCTTTCAAATTCCATTTCTCTTTCTCCCTCTCTCCTGTGACCTCTTATTCTTCTCTTCTATCCTTCTCTATTCTGGAAAAGATTTAAAGGGTCTTTCAGAGATGCCTACGTGATGGTGAAACAAATGAACTCTGATATAAGGGGAGGAAAGATGGCAAAGGGAGAATACAAGAAGCAAGACGGATGGAGCCAAGTTCGTGGTGAGGACAAAATGCCTGCTCTGGGGCTCCCAGTCCTTTTCCCTCTGAGCTTCTAGGGGGGCCTACAAAGGGGGCATGTTTGCAACTGTGGGAACCAGAGTTGACAATGCACCACCAAATGCTCAGGAACAGCATGCCCTGAAAGACCTTTTCCTATAGTTTCTGACAGAGGGAACAGTAAGTAGTCTGAAAAATTGTGTTCTCTCTAGCAGCCTCAGTGTACAAGAACAAGGAGTTTCATAAGGATTTAAACAATCATACCCTGAGTATGCATTCCAACCCTGCTTGGGTTAATGAAGTCCCTCACAGCATAATTGTTTCTTGGAGTCACTCATGAATTCATGCCTAGGTCCCTGTGGCAGCTGCTGGCTGATCTACCTAGAACACTCCGGGCCTCACTCACAGTTCCTAAATAGCTCTGTCATGCTGATCTTCCTAAGGGACCATGTTCTAGTTTGGGTATGAAGTGTCCCCCCAAAGCTCCTGTGTTCATATAGGCATGTTCAGAAGGGAAATGATCAGATTAGGAGAGCTATGACCCGATCAGTGGACTCATCCACTTGATGGATTAATAATCTGAAAGGTGGTCATTGTAGGCAGGTGGGGCATGGCTAGAGGAAGTAGGTCACTGGGGGCATGCCCTTGAGGATAATGTCTTGCCTCCCTGGATCCTCAGCTCTCTCTGCTTCCTGGCTGTCAAGAGCTGAGCAGCTTTCTTCCTCCACATCCTGCTGGCATGATGTTCTGCCTCACCCTGAACCCAGAGTGATGGAGTCAGCTGACCATGGACTGAACCTCAGAAACCATGAGCCATATAAACTATTACTCCTCTAGGTTATTGCTGTCAGGTACTTTGGTTAACAGTGATAAAAAGCTGAATCCCACAAACCACTTCAGCCTATTGCTGTCCTGCTCGAGGGTCTTCAGTAACTCCCTATTGACCACTGAAAGTTGTTCTGCTGCGGTGATACCTCTTACCTCATTCTACCAGGGTCACGCTGAAAAATGAAGGAGTTGCAAAGCTTCAGAAAAGCCAAGGAAAATGAGATCTTAGAAAGGCTGATGGACTTAGTGACTAGGCGGTCATAGAGTGACGTTTAAGAGAGCAGTTTCTGAAAAATACCTGGGAGTGAAACTAGACTCAAGTGTAGGGCCATGTTGTTTAGCACTGAAATGTTCTTTGCTTGTTTTAGGTGAGCTTTAGTTCTGTGACCCCCACTGCTTGGGTTCCAGTCTTAGTCATATCCCTTACTTCTTTAGATAGGTTACCTGAGCTTGCTGCACCTCAGTTTCATCACCTGTAAAATAGAAATAACATAATGTGCCTCTTAGCAGGTACTGTTGGGGCAAACGGATCAGCCACACAGAGAAGCGCCCCATCGGGGTTAGCAGTCCACCCCTGTGGGGGTGCAGACAGTGCCTCTTTGCATCAAGCACAGCAATTCTTCATGTTTCCTAAAGCCTGCACATCTTTTATTTTCAAATACTTTCTCCCACCATTTATTAATAAATCTCTCAAAAGAAAATTCTAAAAGAGTAAAGCACGAGGAAAAACTGCTGCTTAGTTTTTACAACTTAAAAACTATAGGAAATATAAACTAAGAGAGTAATTTACTAGAAACCCTTCAGTTGCATAAATAATTATAAATGTGTAAATGTTCAGGGCCTGGTTATCTCTTCCTAGGAACCTTTTGTTCAGTGATGTATGGGGAACTTTTTCTGAGAAGTTGCAGGCTTTACATTGGGGATTAATAAAACGGTGTGACAGAGACCCCATCTTACACCAGCAGATGGTTACTTTCACCTTAGGGCCCTTCAGGGACAGCCATCAGCTGTGGAAATGTGGCTTCAGAGCCCAAATCAGGCACCTAAGATCCTCATACTCTATTGCCTGAAACTCCATTTGCACACTCAGCCATGGTCCATGTTTCCATGAGATCCTCCTTCATCAGACCACATCTTTTAGGAAAAATTCAGTGTTAGAAGAAACAGATCCAGAATCATTCCTTGGTCACATGAAGGTCATCAGTGGTAAAGCAGAATCAAGGCACCTGGACTCGTTCTTCTTTCTGAAATCCACTGAAAATAATTAAAATAGCATTAGAAAAGAAAATAGACATGAAAATTGAAATCAGCCTAATTCCTGGTAAGTGCAGTTGGGCTGGAAGGAGACTAGAAGCAGTGGCATGGGTATAGAGCCCAGGTAATTCAGAGCCTGCCTGCAGCCATGGGTTTGCTCCAGGGAGGAAAAACACTGGCCTTGTGCAACAGCAGGGTCTGAGTAGGAATGCAAACTTTGGGGTATTCCTGAGCCTTGTGAGAGGACACAGGGCTAAATGAGGGAAGAAAGAGATATCTTTGCTCAGGAATGGCATGGAAAAGCAGGCAATTGACCTTGCCAGGAAATAAATGCAGTCTCTCCTTGTGGATCATTGCAGCTGACAGAGCCTACCTCCTGCTAAGACTGGAGAGGAGACCATGAGGCCCAAGAGAAATCCATGCTGGTTCATCCAGCTCACTTTTCTGGCCTCTCTGCCATATCATCCTTTAGAAAAATAATTTACACATAGGAAAAATGCCCATAAACCAATGCGTAACCACATAAAAAATGAGCCATCTTGCAACAGGAGTTCACAAAGGATATAATGCAAATATATTGCAAGAATAATAAATGAGAACATGACAAAAAGCAGATTAACATTCCAGAAAATTATTGCATCATATAGATAAAAATTATAGAGGAACATTCTTTTGCATAAAATATAAAAATGACTTTTCTAAAGCAATAATTCATAGAAGAGCTATGTCGGCTCAAGTAAGGGATTATTAAACAGCTGAAGGTGATTTTTTGAAAAAAAGAATATGCGGGGCTATGGAAGAAATACGAAGAATAAAATATAATTGAAATAGTGAAAATTAACATTAGAAGTACAAAAAGAGACACTGCTTAAAATAGGGCAAGGATAAAGAGAATATAAAGGAAACAATGGAAAATAAAGAGAAAAGAACCAAATATTTAAAGTGCTTAGTGAAGGAAAAATAAACATGGAAGATAGGCGAAGGAATTCTAATTGAAGGAATTTCGCCTAACTTTCTCATGAATGGGTGTCATCCCTAGAACAAATATTCAGATACAATAGAATAAATATTTCCTTAATAAATAAGACAGAACTCCACACTTCAAAATAGGCCCAGTTATTACAAAGGAAAAAAATTTTTTAATCAGAAAAATAATTATTAACACTGATATGGACTTGGTAAAGTTACTAGCCATCAAACATAGAATAAGTGTAATGAAGCTTGATCCAACTGTGACCAAACATTTTCTTATATCAAAACTGTAAATTTATTGAAAGAAAAAGACCCTTATGTTTGTGTAGCAAAACATAATCCAAATATATGCTACACAGAGACACAGATGGTTAAAACAGCCAGACAAATGCAGCCAAAAGTGGGTGCCCAGATATTAATGTTCATTGCTATGGTCTGAATACTTGTTTTATCCCCTCTTCCAAATTTGCCTGTTTAAATATAACCTCCAAAGCTATGGTATTAAGAGGTGGAGACTTTAGGAGATGACTAGGTCATCAAGTTTCTGCCCTCAATATGGGATTGGTGTCCCTAGGAAAGTGGCTTGAAGTAGCCTCTTTGTCTTTCTGCCATGGGACACAGAGAATGGACCTCACCAGACACTGAATCTGTTGATGGCTTAACCTTGGACTTTTTAGCCTTTGGAACTGTGAGCAATGTATTTCTATTGTTGTAAATTATTCCATCTAAGAAATTTTGTTATAGCCTGAATAGACTAAGACATTAATTCTGAGTAAATTAGAGAAAAAAAATTAAAGATAAAGAACATTTTATAGAGAAAAGAGATATAATCCATAATATAGTTCTTCTTTTTATGAATCTTTTTGTGTCAAAAATCAAACTCTCAGAATTCATAAAGCAAAAAGTTTCTTGAACCCAGGAAGAACTTGCTAGTGCAAATCCTTAATTCATTTATCCAAAGATATTTTTCAGGTCTAAGTAGTATGATCTTTAGGATAAATCTACACAAAAGATGCTCACACACACAAACACACACACACACACACACACACACCTTGTCTAATTTTCTAATTACCTATATACCACAAAAATGAAGAATATATCTTATTTTTTGCAATATTTTAAATTGTACATAGAGATTCTCAATAGATCTCACCAATTGAAAGGGAGTTTGATTTAAAAAACTATAAATAATGACAAAAATGGACAACAAAAAATTTGAACATACAGTAATTAAAAAGACAAAGATCAGAAACTCCCACAGGAAAAACATGGAAGGAAGGTACAGCTCACCCCCTGCCAGTGGGTCCCCCCAGGATCAGTTCATTTTCTAAGCTCCCCATCCCACACCAGCCATGAGAGACACTAACGGTGTTGATTTTCACAACACACTTTATCTAAACAGAATTTCCTGATACACTGTCCTACCGTGTTCATCTCAATATACACATGTGTTAAGCTTATTTAGGACTTAATTGCATTTGCCCTTATCATAAAATAATAACTTTAAAATTCTTCTTTGATTATCTACCTTGGTTTCAAATAAACAGGCTCATTTCCTCACAAATTCATATACCATAAAGATCTGTTTGGAGCCATCTGACTAGTGAGACAGAGGATGTGGGCTCTGCCCTCTCAGTGCCTTTGGAACCTGGGGTCAGGGTTCCTGGAGGAACCCACCTACACTCTTGTCTGAACTTTGATGCCTCATCTGCCTGCCCTCTCCTCCTTCCACAGCAGACATTGCAAAGACATTCTTTTCACCTCTGTGGTATGTTCTGTTCTGCCTGCTCCTGAGATCTGGAGGCCTTAGTAGCTTAGAAAATACAGTAGACTGCCCTTATCTGTGGTTATGCTGTGATTTCAGTTACCTGCAGTCAGCCCCTGCAAATATTAAATAATTTTTTAAAATTATTTAATAAACAGCATTAAATAATTTAAATATTTAAATATTAAGTTTAATATTAGATTCCAGAAAAAAATATTCATAATTTTTAAAACTGTTTACTATTTTGAGTAAGAGGATGAACTCTCATGCTTTCTCTCTCCATCCTTACCTGGAACAGGAGTCCTTCCTTTGTCCCATGTCCACACTATATATACTACTGACCCATTTGTCACTTCATAGCCATCTTGGTAATTAGACCAACAGTCTCCATTATAGGGCTCAGACCCCAGTGACCTTATTTCACTTTATAAGGGCCCCAAAGCACCAGGGTAGAGATACAAAAGAGGCAGCAGAGCATAAAACATGGAAGGACAGATTGACTCTAGTGCAACGTGGCCACGCTGCAGGGTATTGAGAAGAGAACACAGTATGTAGGGGTTTCCATGCTCTGGTTTCAGACATGCCCTGGGGGTCTTGCAACATCCAGTATATCCCGGGGTAGGGGGTTGGGGACTACTGAGCAGGTAGTTTTGTGCTGGATTGTCTAGCCCCTGGCCACACTGCACCACAATTGTTCAGCTATGATGAGTTTGTCTGATTTCCTGATTCACTCAAAGTCTTGCCCATTCACTTCCCAGGTAGGGGTTCTTGTAAATTGCCAGCAGATATAAAGCTTAACTATGACCCAGAGACATTATTCAGGTTCTCTTTACCAGAGGCCTTTCTCTGGAGGTTATTAATTCTCCCTTCCTTGGGCAGTCTGATTGTGCAAGGGCCACTCAGTTTTTATATTATTTTTCATCTTCATGCAGCTGCAAATAGTTGCAAAGAAAATAACACTTGGTTGAGAAAAAAAACCAACAACAAGATAGTCCGTGGCCATTTAAGTTTTTATTTTTGTATCATAGCCTCGCTCTCAATCCATTTATTAAAAAATAGAGTCAGAGAGTTGATCAAAACACATACTCTAATAAAATTTGCTGTGTATACCACAATATTTAAGCCTGCTTCAGTATTTGGGAGAAACACTTAGCAGCAAAAGCATCTTGGTGCAACATTATATATGATTATCATGGTGCAATATTATGTGTGTTCATTTCGTAAAAAGGTGATGGATCTTGAATTTTTCTTAGCACATCAGGAGCAGCAATAGAGCAAATTGGTTCACATATGCCAAGCATTTACTTATGCTTTCCAAAAGCACTCACGACAGGACTGAACTCATCCATTCCTTTGTAGTTGTTTGCAATGGTTCATAGAACAAGAATTCTTTGATCTGTCTCTCCTATAGGGAGCCTCTGAACACGTAGCCACCAGCCTCAGAGAACTCAGAAGAATATGCAATTTGAAGGGGCTAATGTGGCTACTTTCTATAGCATGCTTCTTAAAGAATTCTAGAACACATTGTTTTCTCAGGGAACTACTAATGGTTCTTTTCAGCATCTGCTTCCAATAACTATTTTCTGAGTATCCTTTTTAATGCATGGCTTTTCACTGATTTTTCCACTATCATCTGAAATGTCTTTCCCTTGCCTTACACATATGCAGTAAGACAAGAAACTTACCATAAACATGGGCTTCTCAGGTGTCAAACCCAAACATTTTAAGACATTTTTAGAAATACTCTCACGTCCAGCTGCACAGCCTTGTATTGTTGAAAGCTTGGACAGCTCTGATGGTCTGAATTTGAAGTTTGAAAATAATGAATTACACAGAACATATTCCAGTCTATAGACACTGTATAGCAAACCTCTAAAGAGTCCCTGTTCCCATCTGTATTTATTTAACATGGATCACCCCTTAATATATGAATATTTCCTTGAGATGGTGGAGAGTTTTGCTGGGTGAATGAGCCCTGGCACTGCCCATCTTACCTATAGGAGTTTTTTGATAGCAGCTAATCTTCAGCAAGCAGTTTTTATGTTCCAGGCCCTGCGCTTTGCAAGCATTGATCGCGACAACCCAATGTAGGGAAGGATTATTATTACCATCGTTGTACAAAAGCAGAAATGGATTCTTAAAAGAGGTCAGAAGATAGGGTTTTTCAAATCCCATTTCATGTTAGAGAAATGGTTGGAAAAGGAAATGTACACAATGAGCTTAGAATGCCTCATTTTACCAGATGGCAATGGAACCAGCA